AAATTGTGTTCTTAGGTTGTATTCAGTTGGAGGTCGTGATGGAAGTTCTTGTTTGAGTTCAATGGAATATTATGACCCTCATACAAATAAGTGGAATATGTGTGCTCCTATGTGTAAGAGAAGAGGGGGTGTTGGAGTGGCCACATGTGATGGTTTTCTTTATGCTGTCGGAGGTCATGATGCTCCTGCGTCAAATCATTGTTCCCGGCTGCTAGACTATGTAGAAAGGTAAGACCACAAAGACCCTGTTACAATGATGCCTAATTCAAGTGATGTAAAAACTGTATAATTTAGGAAAGGTAAATTCAATCCATAGAGCTACTTTGTAGTCTGTCTCTCTCTCTGTCTCTCCCCCTCTCATTCTTTCATTTTTTAATATTTTCCTCTTCTTTTGACCCCTTCCTTTATCCAACTAATATTTACTTAAATATCATTTTTTTCACAAAATCTCTAGATCTTTAAATTTCTTCATGATATATCTTTAACAGTGTCCTCAAAATACAGTTTTAAGTAATGTATTAAACATAAATGTTTTAAATTCTGTTAAAAAATATTTTCTATTTTATTTAAGTGTTCTATTCATCTTGACTTGTTAGTTCTACTTCCCTTTTTTTTGGCAGTTTTTGGCCAGGGCTAGGTTTGAACCCACCACCTCCAGCATATGGAGCCAGTACCCTACTCCTTTGAGCCACAGGTGCCGCCCTCCACTTCCCTTTTAAACTCTCAAAGGTGAATTGTGGACCCCTTCATTTTATGACACATCTTTCTTAACATAAAACAGACTTACAAGAACTTTTTTTTATAATCCTGGTGCATTGAGGAAATATAGGTTCTTATTTAACTCTTCATAAAAATAACCAGGTTCATGGAGGCTGAAGTAGAAATGCACCTCGGCTTCAGGCTTAGTTCAACAATGCAGATCCTGCCTTATGGCTATAAACGAGTTTTCTGTGATGGCTGTGTGGAACATAGTCAGCGTTCTAGGTAACTCAGAACTATTGTATGGTGTGCAGCAAGGACTGCATGGTCTCTAGTAAGAGGACTGGGGATATTTCCTGTTACGTAAAGTACACACTGATCTGTAGAGAAATGAGAATAGAGATATTGAGGGCAATTAGTTTATAAACTAACTCTAGTGTGACAATAATTTGAAAGCTCTCAGTCATTGAACACTACAGTGCTTTTCTTCTTTAAAATTCATGCTACATGTATATTGTCACTCTGGGACTCAAACTGACATACAAGCTACATTACTGAACACTGCTGATCTCTCTATGAAAAGAAAAAAAAAACAGTGTGACAAATTCACTGATTCTTAAAGATTCTACCTGCAAATGATGTAACTATTCTTTGTTTACACTGCAGTGACAGCCACATGGCCATAGAAATCTTCATAGGGATAGGGGGGCAGTATCCTAACTTGTACCCAGGAGAAGATGTTTGCTGGATAGCACTGTTGGCATCACACTTTTCCTCTTGGTATTAAGAAACTCATATCCTGGCTCAGCACCCATAGCTCAGTGTGTAGGGCATCAGCCACATGGCCTAGGCCTGCTAAACAACAATGACAACCATGACCAAAAAATAGCCAGGCATTGTGGCAGGCACCCGTAGTCCCAGCTACTTGGGAGGCTGAGGCAAGAGAATTGCTTAAGCCCAAGAGTTGGAGGTTGCAGTGAGCTGTGATACCATGGCACTCTACCCAGGGCAACATAGTGAAACATAGTGAGACTCTGTCTCAAAAATAAAAAATAAACTCATATCCTTTCCAGTGGTTCTCAACCTTCCTAATGCCATGACCCTTTAATACCGTTCCTGTGGGTCGCAACCCACAGGTTGAGAACCGCTGCGATACTCATGCCCATACGTGATATATTCGGAGAGACAAAGATGCTCTTTCTTATTTATGAAACATTTTCTAAGGATATGTAATTGTTTTGACTGAGCATAATTCCACTGGCAAACCATAGCTTTTAGTAAACAGGCTCTGTTCAAACTTAAGCTACTGTTTGGATAAAACAGAGAAACAATGTTTAGCAATATTGCTACTCTGTGAAATAACTATAGCTTTATGGCTATACACACAGAAAGGCAGTAATCTTACCACAATTTCACTTTAATATCGTCCAGTCCACTGAAATCAGAAGGTATAGATGTTATACTGAGGATAGTGGTCAGAGTTCAAATAAAAAGTCTTCACACACAAACACAACATCATTTGTTTTAGAAAAATACTGCTAATATACTGACAGCTCATTTACATTTTCTCTGCTACACTCTTGGGAAAACGAAGAGAGAAGAGGAATATGATAAGCCTCCTACTTTTACCTTGAATATCTTATATAAATGCTGCTAATGAAATGATATTTCATCCAAATATTCTCATCTAACTCGACTGCATAATGTATTGAAATGTTGTTTGTGAGCAGAAGCATAAATAATTCAGTCCAGGAATACATTTGTGTTGCAAAATTAGATTTAAATAAGCATAGCTATTTTAAGTTATAGGAGTGCAGTGGGTAGGAGCAGCTTAAGTAATGCAGAAGCACCCAGCATTACCATGACTCATACTACCCGTCAGATTAATAGCATTTTTTACATTTCCCATAGCATGCTTTCTATATTGATGCTTTCACATGTATCATCAATAAATCAAGATACATAACAATGCCTCCATGGAACGATTTTGCACATGTAAGGGGAGTGATGTTTTTTAGTGTGTAATAATAGGCCAACATCTTTAGAAGTAGCCAGAATAGTGCACGATGCTGTTTTGTAGATCCAATCTTATTATATCACAATGATGTCTTATGGAAATGTAAATATATTATATAATAGTGGTGTTAGGTACAGTTATATAATGCTTACCAAAATTGTTCAGAGTCAGGCTGTCTTGAGCACAAATAACCTTGGCACCCAAGTCAGTGCAGGTAAGAAGGCAGGGACTGAGTTAGAGTGAGAACTGTAGCTTAGTTAATGGAACAGACGAAACTAATTTTGTGACTAAACCTCGGCCTAGTGAAAACATCTTGGCAGACAAAATCAGTGCCCCAAAGGGGCTGCATTGAGTTGTAGGAGAAATTAGGCCCAGGAGATCCAACTAACTAAGCAAATAACACCTATCTATCGGTTAGTCGGTGAATACGATTTTGCATGCGTTTTTGTGCTGTGCTGTACAATATATTCAGCAAGACAAATAATTCAGAAAGACAAATAATTAGAGTTTTAAGATCACAAACAAAATTGAAATCCAGGTTATGGATCAGAAAATTTATATTTCCATAAGATATCATTGTGATATAATAAGATTTGATCTACAAAACAGCATTCTCAAAGGCATACTGCTGGACAACAGTGGATCTGGACCACCTTTGCCCTCTCATTGCATCCCAGCCCAGTACAATTAAGTAGACAAAGGAAACATACTCATGTCCCCACACAAAATCGCATGTACAGGGAATTTTGATTATTGCAGAGGGGGAATGAGGAGCAGCACAGAAAAGCAAGTCATTATGACACAAATGACTGGGTTACTTGGGTATCTCCTAGGGAAAAACCTTAGTTTTACCTGCTGTCCATTATCAGAGCAAAAATGAGCTCAAGATGGAGTTTAGATTTAAATATGAGCTATAAATCAACACAACATTTTAGAACACAACATTGGAGACCATCTTTATAATACTGAGGTATGAAATGTTTTCTATCCTGGACCTACAAGGGATCACCCATAAAGAAGGAAAGTATTACTGTTAAAATGTCTTCAAAAGCTGCCAGTGAGAGAGTAAAAATTTAAAGTAGATAATAGGGAAAATATTTACCATACCTCTCACCAACAGAAGCATTATTTCCTATATGTAAGTGAATGCTAGAAATTATTTTAGAAAAAATATAAAAATGGAAAACCCAGAAAAAAGACTTGAACATTAATTCTTGGAGAAATAGGCACGCGTAGCTCCCATAGCACAGTGGTTACTGTGCCAGCCACATACACCGAGAGTGGTGCGTTCTAACCCAGCCCGGGCCAGCTAAACAACTGCAACAACAGCAGCAACAACAACAAAATTGCTGGGCCTTGTGGCAGGTGCCTGTAGTTCCAGCTACTTGGGAGGCTGAGGCAAGAGAATAGCTTAAGCCCAAGGGTTTGAGGTTGCTGTGGGCTGTGATACCAGGGCACTCCACTGAGGGTGCCTTAGTGAGACTCTGGTCTCAAAAAAAAAAAAAAAAAAAAAATACGCAAATAGGCAATGACTACTGGGAAAAATGATTGACGTCATTAGTCATCAGGAAAATGTCAATTACAATATCATAGCAACGCCTACCCACCAGCGAGGCTGAAATAAAAATAGCAGATGATACTACATGTTGGGGAGGATGCAGAGCGACTGACACTCATTTCGTTGATGTTTACAGCGTAAGTCATCACAGCTTCTTCCCAACACCAACTGGCAGATTTTCCACATTTCGCGTTATACAATCTTTTGACCCATTCTTTAACAACCTTTGGAAAGTACGTATATGAAAACATCTGAATGAGTTTGTTTATAGGAGCATCACTGCAAAGTTTTAGCAAATAGTTTTTATTAATACAAATTGTTTTCTGTTCCTATATATTATAAGTATGTCTTAACTCAGGAAATATTTCTTTTGAAAATACGATGAAACCTTTTAGATAATGGTTCTCTGTACAGGAAAAAAAAAATACTTATTATTAAACAGCTCTACTGCCCTTCCTCACTGCTCAGAGTACCAATAGTGTTTTAGAGCTACTCAAACACAGATTACGTCATTGACTGACTTGAAATCTCCACCCCGCAGTTTATCCAGTCTCCCAGCATGAATCTTCATTTTTTCCTTTTCCTGATTTTTTGGTATTTATTCTTTTTATTTAATTTGCAGGAAAACATACCTGACTGCAATTCGCTTCTAGCTTGTTTAATTTGTTCTCTATATGAATAGTCCCTGGGAAATACAGAGAAAATAAGCATTCTCAATTCTATTTGCTATCAAAGTAATGTTTTCATATTTAAACAATGTCCCTGAATGTATTCTAAGATAATTTTTTATTCTTGAAGTGTGGAAATCACAATAATGCTTGAAAAATTAATAATTTTTCAAATAATTCTATGGTAATTTTCAAAGAGAAGCTTTTATTGTGTAAGCATTATAGGCCTTCAACAAGTTTCCACTTTTGAACTAATTTTATCCACTATATAGGGGCACTTCTGTTTCTTTTTTAAAAAATTATATCACAGCTGTATACATTAATGCATTTATGGGGTACAATGTGCTGGTTTTAATATAATTTGGAATTATTACATCAAACTGGTTAACATAAACTTCATCTCACTTCTTTAATTATTGTATTAAGACTTTTATACTCTACACTTAATAGATTTGATATGTTCCCTTGCAAAATGCACCATAGGTGTGAGCCCATTGGCACTTCTCTTTCGGAGGGCTATAAACTTTAATAGAATGGTGAGCATTTTTTCATATATCTGTGGAGGGAGGGTAATTGGAGGGATCACCTCTATGGTTTATCTTACAAGGGTACAAGTGAATCTTTCTAAAAGTAGAATATAAAAGTCTTAACACAATAACTAAGAAAATGACATGAAGGCTATGTTGACCAGTTTGATGAAAATATTTCAAATTGTATATGAAAACACAACACTGTACCCCATGATTGCATTAATGTACACAGCTATCATTTAATAATAATAATAATAATAAAAACTTTAATAGAGTCTCTAATACAGAGCTTGCAGTCTGACCAGGAAGGCTAACAGAAATGGCGGAGAGCCTAAATATAAACCACCTCCCCATCTCTTTTTGTTTTTAATAAATAACAACTAGCAGCAAAATATAAAAAGCTTAGAATGAAATTTTATGAAAAATTTGACCTTCAATGAAAATTAAAATCACTGTTAGTAATTATCTGGGAAAATGCTTATATATCTGTAGATAGTTTCCTAAGTAGAAAATAGCTGCTTATTTCATTTTGGGGGGTAATAACTTTGTATACCCTAGGCCAAGAGATGAATCCACAGAGTTCTTGCTTATAGAAAAAACAAATTATAGTTGTTACTATGACATCAAGAAGAATGACTACTGGGCAATTTGGAATTTGTGTGATCACTTCCTATTTAACTAGGATTGAATATGTGTGCCGAAAAATGCAGGTTTGTTTTAGTTTTACTGGCAATTTATAAACTTATATATCGTTACCAGTGTCATATATTAATAAAAATATAGTTACTTCATATTTGAAAAATGTAACCTGACACTGAAAATAGGTACATCAAACTCAAAGATGCTTTTCTAAGAGAATGCATTAATTTCTTTTTAAATTACATTTAAAAAATTATGACTTCTAAATGTAGGTTAGTTTTGCAAAATGTGAACCTAAATGGAGGACCTAAGAGTGTTTTCTTAATCCCCCCTGCAAAATGAGTATTTGAGAATTGTATCATTGTTTGAGTTTCACGTGAAGAACAGCCTTTGGAAATTCATTTCCAGGGTGTCCCCAAAGTTGTCCCCAAAGTTACCACACATAGGCAAAATGGAAAACTATAGCTAAATGTATAAATGGTGTAAATGTGCATTACACAATTTTATGAAGAGGTGGCCAATACATAGGAAAATATTTTGTAAATATTTTATAAAGGCATATTTAACGACAATTTCCCATTTTCCCTATGTAAGGTGACTATAGAGGCTGAATTTGGGACACCCTGTATAATTGCTTATCACACAAGTGTTAGCTGGTTTTTAGCTATTTTTTTCAGTATTTGTGAACTTTTTTTTTGCAGTAGGATACTTTTCATTACAGACAGTATTTGAAAAAATTCTATAGATCGGGGAGTCATAATAAAATGAAGACTAAAACTAAAGTATTAATACGATTTCAGAAAAAGAGGCTATTTATGTAAAATGGTTGTGTCAAAAGCCAGTCAGGATTCTATTGAATAATGAATGAAATGTAAACAATGTTGACTTTTCACTGAAATTAAAATGTATTATATTTTCTTCCTTTGAATACAATTTGTGCTAGACACATTTCCTGAAAACGAAAATGTAAACAAATTCCATAAACTCCACTGTACTGCTTACCCAGGAACCTCCACAATTTGTGGTTTTTATTTCATCCATCTCCCTTTTCTCTGTCCTTCCTTTTTTCCTTGAATTATTCTAAAGAAATTCTCACATGCATTTTTAACTCAGAACATTTCTGAATTAATTCCAGGGGAAAAAAATAAATATGATCGTGATTTTATTTCTTAACATAAATACAATGTGATTACTCCCCTAATAAAAACTTCAGTAATTCCTGATTAAAATGTAATGCCTGAGTTACATTAACATTTTTCAAACATGTCAAACATCTTTTAAGAGTTGGTCTGTGTGAGTTGGGATCCAAATAAAGATCTTAATTCACTGTATTTTGTTATGTTTCTACCTCACATTTCACTTGGAACAGTTACTTCTTTGTAACTCATTATTATTGTACTCATTATTATTTTGATATGTTTTGCCATTAACTTGTTGAAAAATGCAGTTCCAGAAAATGTTCCATGTCCTAGATTGTAATATCTACTTCTTCGTGTTATCTTTTCTTTTCTCTCTTTACCCCTCATGTCAAAAATTTTTGTGTATTTCAAAACATTTGTGAAAAAGATATGAATATTTTTTTAAAAAATTTGATGTTATATATTATGTGTTTGTGTATGTGTATCTATGTGTACATTAATTCGTATGTGGTGATTTATACTTATTAGCTAACGATAGCACGTACAATTAAATTTGTTCATACTGGGCAGCCTATACTTTAATAAGGTGATGCTGACTTTGCAGGGATTGAATTAGTATCTCATTATCACACATGTCATGTTGGCAATACACAAACCCCTCAGCCATGGTGTCCAAATGCATTCAGTCTCTTGGGTAATGTGAATATTCTAGAGAAATAGAAATTCCAGGTTGTTTGTAACAGATTTATTTTCAGCAAGGGTTGTTTTTATTTTTATTTTTTTGTTGTTCATTCATTTGTTTTGTTTTGGTTTTTGGCTTGGGTATTCATTTCTTTCAGGAGTCTGTAAATTGGAAATTTTAATTAACAAAAAACAAAAAAAGATTAGAGCAGGAAAACAAACTAAGAATGTATTTTCTGTGTTTATGGGAAAATACTTTCTTCTAGTTTTATTTCATATTTGTTCTGTTGAGTTCTTGACAGCTTTCTGTTTTGGTATCTGAACTGCAGTTGCTGGCTAAAGGCAAAGAGATGGTTTCACACTCGTTCTTAGCTGAAATAAAACACCTTCAGGGAAAGTCGTAAAGTATTTTCCACTCAAAATAGTAAATGTCTATACGTAATACGTAGTAATTACGTGTTTTTGAAGGATTTTTTTGATTTAAGTTTAATAGCTTGACCTCCTGAATTTATTGATTTGTCATGCTGTTCTCAAGATGAGGAAAAACTTCAGCCATGTCATTAAAACGCAGTTCTGTTCATATAATAGTTATTTTTTCAAGTTTCAAAGGCTTTCTATTTACTCATTCAATAAATACAAAGCACCTGTTACTCAGGGAGCCCACAGTCCATAAGCTGATAAAAATCGCCCTTTCCAGATGCACTTCCTCCTCAGACCCCCTTGAACTTGGTCACTCTAGATACTTGTTTCCTCAAAGTCACATGTTTATTTTTTCAAAAAGGAAAATCCAACTATGCTGATTTTACACAAAAGTGTCCTGTTCTTTCTAGAAAACTTAGCTTAGACTTTCACCTCTATGGTTTAACTTACAAGGGTACAAGTGAATCTTTGTAAAAGCAGAGTATGAATGTCTTAACTTAATGACTAAGAGAATGACATGAAGGTTATGTAAGCCAGTTTCATGAAAGTATTTCAAAATGTATATGAAAACAGCACACTCTACCCCATGATTGCATTAGTGTACATAGTTATGCTATAAGAAATAAAAAAAAAAAAAACAAACAAACAAACCTTCGTCTAGTTAGAATCTAAAATTTCTACCAAAGTTATAGCCATTTTTTTCTATTTCATGACCAAAACACTCTTATATAATCTGTTTAAAAGATCTTTTTTGTATGTGCTGGGGATAACAGTTATTTACATATTTGATGCCCCCTCTTCCTCGTGGAAACAAGTCACAACATTTATTTTTGTTAAATGAATCTGCATTCATCTAAAAGTCTGAGTGTATTTTAAAAATAACAGAGTGAGAAAGCCTTATGGATATTCCATCCAGAATACCAAATGACTGTACTTTGATTAAAAAATTGGTTTTGTTTTTCATCACATACTTTTGAAAGAATGTCATTCATATAGTTAAGTTGAATGGGAACAGAATGTTATATACTATTGTCATTGAATTTTAGATATGACCCCAAAACAGACACGTGGACCATGGTGGCTCCTTTGAGTATGCCCAGAGATGCGGTTGGGGTCTGTCTCCTTGGTGACAGATTGTATGCTGTTGGTGGCTATGATGGGCAGACATACCTCAACACTATGGAATCCTATGACCCACAAACTAATGAGTGGACACAGGTAAGATGGTCATCAGCATAATTTACTTGAAGTTTAAGAATTTATTTCATTTACTTCTTTTGGAAGAGAGATATGCAAATAATGATCTATCTTTTCAAATTACCCTCAACCAAAAATGAATTAGTTCTACTAGTTTCATATTGGTATTAAGTAAATTGAATACTTGCTTTTCCATTCTTTTAAGAGTATATGGCACATCTCCTGGGTGAAGGGCTCAACTACAACCTGAACTTTACCTTACAAATGCAAACAATGTAACTTAATCATTTGTACCTTCATATTAACTTGAAGTTAAGAAGAGGAAAGAAACCCACCATTGTGGAATCAGAAATGATTTAGTTCAATGTAGTGTTAATTTTGTAAAAAATTCATTAAGTTGTTTTTTTGTACTTTCCTCTTATGTATGTTATACTTTAATAAAATTTATATTAAAAGTGACATTCATTGTTTGATGGGATTTCCATTTAATTAGTAAAATAAGAAGCAGGAATTGAGTTTGAGTTTCCTGGGCAAATTGTAAGAGTGTAATACGTTGGTTCACAAAACCATAACTTTGGAAATGATTGGTATAAGGCAAAGAGAGACTGCCGAAATCACCTTTCTGGAATTCGTTTTTGTTGACTACATTTGTTAGGTTCCTTTTTACATTCTGCAGACAGAATTTTCCACTTGACATTACTAAAAGCTCTAATTAGTTACCCTCACAGCCATAGATGGAAAATAAAATAACTTTTCATCCCAATTCAATTAAAAAAAGGGCTCTGTGCAGTCTGCCATGTATCAAGTGCTCTTTGTCAACCACTTTGACGTGGAAGATGAGTGAAATGGTTGGAATTATACCTTGAATACGCACTGTATTCAGATACTCAGGATCATGACGGAAGGAGATGGCTCCTGTTGTGACCTCTTAACCAGAGGTTGTGTATTGGTGTATGTGAATTAGAGAAACTTCAGGGCAGAGAATCTAATTAAAGTGAAAAACTCCTTATACTACTCAGTTAATATGTCCTTCATATAATGGAGAAGATGGATAAATCCTCAGCCTTGTATTGTTACAATGTCTCTTTACTTTCCATCTTTTATTCCAAATTACTGAATATTTTTATCATTTCTTTCTTGTACCAGAAATCTAAAAGTAAGTGCTGTTCAAATACATAGTTTCCATCAAACAGTTCAGTGGTTATCCAAAGCCCTATTTAGTTGTAGCAGAATAATAACCAGATCTCCTTGTCTGCCTGCCTCAGTGGCTGAAAGATGCTAATTTTGATCAGAGAAATTGACTAAAATGTATCTGAAGAATTTGACAACTGATTGAAGTAAATTTATTTGAAAGATATTTACTTTTAAATAAACACAGCTTCCTTGATTGTACCAACTTTCATGTTCTGTGTTCAGCAACAGTATTGGGGTAACTTTGGAGTACAAAGCCACATTCCTAACAGCTAAGCCAAGATAACGGCATTATGAATCCCCCTTTGCCCCTAAGCGAAGATGCTTGTATTCAACAAAAATACATACATTTGGCTAATCAAACACAAAATAAATAAAAATATAAATTAAAAAGAAGAGAAATAAGGGAAAGAGGAGGAATATTATATGAATTAAGTCCTGTGATATTTACTTTAAATACTAGGGAGAAAGTATTTTTTTTTTCTTTAAAAGGCAGTAAATATAAAAGAAGCTAGTAATGATTGGTTTTCACGTTATTGCACTAAAATTTTCAAGGATATATTTTGACATTTTGTCATTTTGAATCTGTAGTGTTTCCAAAGAGAGCACTGCAGAGATTAATAATGACTGTTGATCTGCTAAGGAAATGTAACAGTTCAATGGTATTTTAAATATGTCAGTTGTACAACAGAATATTAAGTAAAGGATGTTATGGTTATACAAATGATATGATATCCTCATTGCACATTAATAATAAACAGCCATTGTGCTTATCATTCCTCTAAAATTGAAATCAAAATAATGTATGTGGTAATAATAGATAAAAGCCTCTAAAGACCATATTTCCTCCTATACATTTTATACATTTTTGGATCATATGATATTTTATAAACAGCATAGTGATGATACAATGTTTTACAACAATCTTATTTTAGTGCAATAAGCATTAATTTAAAGTTCTTAAATTACTTTAAGGTTTTAATTACATATTGTTTCATTATTTATATTTTTAAGATTCTCAAGGGACTATCAGTAGACCACAAACAATCTCCTTGAAAACTTTTAGGGTTCTAACCTACTAGGAAGGTTTCCATATTATACGGATAATACCTGTCACTTTCACTCTATTTACCCAATAAGTGGACAAAATTGATTATTTATCGCATGTATTATTTGCATCCACATAAGACCTGATTATTAGAAAACATACACTGAAAATCTTCTGCTCAGCTAAGGACACAACAATTAAAACCATAGACAGCTTTCAGAATGGGAAAGGATATTTGCATGTTATACTCTCACATGGGCCCAACTACTAGAATCTACAAAGAACTCAAAATAATCATAAAAACAAGAGCCAACAGTCCCATCTTCTGGAAAGTGACATGAACAAAACCCTCTCAGAAGACAGATCATTGTCTAACAAACATATGAAAAAACGCTCATCATCCCTACACATTAGAGAAATGCAAATTAAAGCCACATTGAATATCACGTAACCCCAGTGAGAACGGCCCACATCACAAAGTCCTAAATTTGCAGATGCTGGTGCAGATGTGGAGAGAGGGGAACACTTTTACACCATTGGTGAGACTGCAAACTGATACAGCCTCTCTGGAGAGAAGTATGGAGAATCCTTAAAGTATTCAAAATAGAGCTCTCATGTTATCCTAAAATCCCATTACAAAGCATCTACCCAGCAGAAAAAAAATAATTTTATCACAAGGACATTTGCACAAGATTGTTTATCATTGCTCAATTTACAATTTCCAAAATGTGGAAACAACCTACATGCTCACCAACTCAGGAATGGATTAATAAATTGTGGTATACATACACCATGGAATACTATTTGCCGATAGGAAAGATGGAGACTTTTCATCTTTTGTATTAACCTGGATGGAGTTGGAACACATTCTTTTTCTTTTTATTTCTTTATTGAGTCATAACTGTACATTATTGCATTTATGGGGTACAATGTGCTGATTTGATATACAATGTGGAATGCTTACATCTAACTGATGAACATAACCATCTCCTTACTTGTTGTGTCAAAAACATTCATACTCTATTCTTAATAGTATAGAAGTACATCATTGTATTATTCACATTAGGTTTGATCCCCTAAACAATTCTCCCTCCTCCCAGCCTCCCTACTCCCCTCCTGTCTCTTTTCTCTTCCCTCCTTCTTTCTGGACTATAGTTATGTTTTACCATTCTAGATCACCTATATTTCTGTCTAACAAGGGTACAAGTGAACTTTTCTAGGACTAGAATATAAATGTTTTGACACAATGACTATGCAAATGACATGAAATTTATGTGAACCAGCTTGATGAAAGTATTTCAAAATGTATATGAAAACACTACACTGTACCCCATGTTTGCATTAATGTATACAGCTATCATTTAATTTAAAAAAAGAATATCTTTGTGATTATATACCGATTTCATAGTAGTATTGAATATATTGGATACTTTTTCTCCCATTCTTGAGATACTTTACTAAGAAGAATATGTTCCAGCTCCATCCAAGTAAACATAAAAATGTGAAGTCTCCATCTTTTTATGGCTGCATGGTATTCCATGGTGAACATATACTACAATTTGTTAATCCAATCATGGGTAATGAATATTGATGCAAAAATATTCAATAAGATTCTAGCAAACAAAATTCAACAACACATCAAAACAATCATACACCATGATCAAGTTGATTTTATACGAGGGTTACAAGGCTGGTTCAACCTACATAAATCCATAAATATAATACATCACATAAGTAAAATAAAAAACAAAGACCACAATGACTCTCTCAATTGATGCAGAAAAAGCTTTTGATAATATCCAGAACCCTTTAATGATCAGACATCTCAAGAAAATAGGCTTAGAAGGGTCATTTCTGAAAGTGATAGAGGCCATATAGAGAAAACCCACAGCCAATAGCATTCTGAATGGAGTAAAATTGAAAACATTTCCACTCAGATCTGGAACTAGGCCAGGATGTCCATTGTCCCCGCTGCTATTCAACACATTCTTTTTAGTAAAGTATCACAAGAATGAAAAAGTACATATTCAATGTACTCAATACCAATGTGAAGCCAGTAGATGATCTATTACACACTCACACAACAACAGAAAAGCTCAATTCAAGATGGGGGAGGGGGAGGTATGTTAAAAGACTGAGGGTAGCGGGGGAATGGGTGTGCTCCCACTTAATGGACACAATGTAGGGGTATTTGGCACACCTCCCGGGAGTGGGACACAACTACAACACGGACCCTACCTAACAAATGCAAAAATGGTAATCTAATATTTTGTACCCTCAAATTAGACTGAAATTTTAAAAAAGAAAATTGCATTGAAATAGTCAAAACCGTGTATTTTTGAAAACTCCCCAGGTTAGCTCAAACTGAAAGTAATGTCAATAGATTAGGAAGCAGTTGCCTGGTTTTTGCCTCAGTTTGTTTCATAGAGAAAACAAGGTGTGTGTGTGTGTGTTTAATAAATTTTACTTTATCAATTTACAGTGGGCTTATTTCTTACATTTAATTTGAAAAAACAGTATGTGCACATCAGGATATAAGAAGAACGTTGCCTTCCTTCCCCTAGCCTGAATAAAATCCCCTTCTTTTGTTCTCTTAGTAAGGAGGTAGGGCTGTCATGCTGCAGCCACCTCCGGGTTGTAAGGAATTGAAGACAATGTGGCTTTTACTGTCCCGTCTGCATGACTAGCATAGTTGCTGGTGTCCAGCATAAGATATGTGAATGTTTCTCTAACAAATTGAAAACTATTGTTGGAACTAAGTTTCTTCTGGGTCTGTGGGTTTAGTTTATTTGCAAATAATAGATACAACACTAAGAGACATCTTTCAGTCCTGGCAAATGAGTAATAGTTAACCAAATAAAAGATGAGGAGTACTTTGACTTACATAACAGCATTTTAAGAGATGGGGAAAAAACACGTGGCACATTTCACCATTCAGAAAATGGACTGGGAAGTAATGGGTCTGGAGAGACAAACAGGGTCCTTATGATGCAGGGTGAGAAACTATATTAAAGAGCCTTGAGCTTAAAGCTGAATGGGCGCTAGTAAGGGAGTTTAAACAGGCAAAGTGAATACACGTAATTGTACTTTAATATGATTGCCCTTGCTAGAATGCAAAAATGATTAGGAGAAAGCAAGACGGGAGAGAAAGAAACCGATTAGGAGAATGTTTTACCAATACATGTACAGTAAAACTTTAACCTGAACTAAGTGGAAGACAGAAGAAATGGATAGAATTAAAGTGGTTGGAGAGATATTTAGAAAGCTCTATGATTATTCAAATACAGACTTGAGTGAGGGAAAATGAACAGTCAAGGATGTGGTCTAAGATTCTGTCTTGATCAACGGGGTAGAGAGGGTGTCATTCATGCACACAAGAAACAGAAAGAGTAGCACATTTTTTTGAAAAAAAAAATATAGAAAGGATTCAGTTTTGGGCATGGGCTGGGTTTGAACCCACCACCTCCAGCATATGGAGCTGGCGCCTTACTCCTTTGAGCCATAGGCACCACCCCAGAAGGGATTCACTTTTGCACACACACAAACACATATGCATACATATATATTTAGAAATATAGGTCCAAATGTACATAAAAACACAGAGCTAACCTACTTTCTCTGTATGTAGTCTAGAGCACAGTACTTTTCTATTTAATAAACATCAATGAGTCTTTGGAAAACTTTTCAAAATGCCATTAGCCAATATCATCCCATTACCACGAGTGATAGGGCTTGTGCGCATGTGCAGTCAATGTGTTACTTCAAGGCAGGGCTGTGTTCTGAGCAATGCATCTTCAAGTGGTTTTTGTTGTTTGGTGAACCTCATTGAGCGTACTTACACAAACCTAGATAATACAGCTTTCTATACAGCAAACCTTTGTGAAATATTCTTTATCATTTGTAAGCTTCAATCCTGTACAGCATGTTACTGTACTGAATGCTGTAGGCAATTGTAAATCTTCATAATTGTAATAGCACTCACTTTAAAACCTAAACGCATTGTACAGTAATGCAAAAATATGTTCTTCCTTTACATCCTTATTCTACGCATTTTTAAATAGCAGTAGAGCGGGTTTGTTTACAACGACATCACCATAAACACGTGAGTAATGCCTGGAGCTGGGACGTTACCATGGCTACTGCATCAGTAGATGGCAGGAATTTCTCAGCTCCGTTATAATCCTATGTGACAATCATCACATACAAGATCCATGGTTGACTGGAACCTCATTATGCACACCGTGCTTGCACTTTGGAAAAGCTCCTTAGATGCTGCTGCTGTGAAACAATATATGAAAATCATTAAGGAATAAAAAAATAGATGCAACATGCATTCTGGAGTCAGATAAACTTCTGTTCACATACACGGATGTATGGGATTTACACATTGTCTCTCGGTATTCCAGCCACTCACCTGTCACAAAGAAGTAACAACACACGATGTGATTATGAACATGACTGCTGTGACCTGTGATTCTTCTTAACACAAAACAGGCTATCAGTATATTCACATACTCCTTTCCTTCTCTTATTTTAGGCAATTCTATGAGGTAGACAAGAGATGTTACATTAAATTAGTTTAAACAAATATAAACAAATAGCCTATAGTGAAGGGAATAAAAAAGTAAATATACATATTTTTACCTTACAATAAGGTGAGGAGTAACAATCAATAGATTCCAAACAACTGGTAGAAAATGGAGGCGATTTTCATATTTAGAGAGTGAGAACATGTCATTTCTCAATCAATAAGATAATGTATGTGATTTGAAGTTATTTTCTTCTTAGATATTTTATTTCTTACATTCCATGCCCTTTCTTTTCAGTTTGGAATCATACCCTGTAACTTCTTAGAAAACTGTAATAAAAGTCATTGATATCAAAAAGCTCACATTATTAAAATGTTGGGCTTCCCCCTGAAGAATAAATTTTCATTACAAACTCTGTAAAAATTATTGTTTTCAATATATGTCTGGCCATTTTTATATTCGGCATTATTAAAGAAACTCAGTTCTCATTTCAGTGATTGTCATGAGTTAGAAAATTTTTAATGAGCCCTAGAGTGATTATAATTAGGGCCTATTTATGACAAAATATTGAAGTTATTTCATTGTATGCCTCTGTCTAGAATGAATGAATAACACATTTAATTCAAGATAATATCTGGGGAAATAACTTCAAAGTCATTGCAGTAAGCGTAATAGCTATTTCATCTGAAATAGACTCTAAGCCATCACTATAAAATATCATTACAATTGTGTACATGCAGGCCCCAGAATAAATCTTTTCTAGAAACTTTTCTCTGCTAGGTTTATTTTAATAAAAATAAAGAAGTATTTTATAACTTTTCTTCATTTTCAACATACAAATCATTGCTGTTTTAAAAATGCCATTGTCAATGTTTTCATTTTTATTGTATTACTTGTTGCTAAAATGGGAAAACTGAAGCACATTTGCTTATAATTTTTGTGTCTGATCTCTTTAAATATAATTTGTCTGTTTTTCTATGACAGTAAAATTTGTCTCTAGTTGTGTTTCATCTTTCTTTTTTTTTTTTTTTTAACAGATGGCATCCTTGAATATTGGGAGGGCAGGTGCCTGTGTGGTAGTCATCAAGCAACCCTGACTTATTTTTATTTTATTTGGAGGGATTTTATTTGCTGGAGTCATTATTTTTATATTGTATGGCAAGGACGAGAATGTCTTGAGATGAAAACTTGTCAAGAACAAGGATTCCCGTAGACTTACCTACTAACGTCAAAAAAGGCAGAAGATCAACAGAATTACGGAAAACAAGAAAACGTGGAACTTATACTGGAACAATACCTGGCCAAGTTTCAGTTCAGGAATGGTTATTGGTAATTTGTTTTGTATTATACTATACAATAACTAGAGTTACCAAAGACTTGCTTTTCTTGAACAGTTGAAAAGGGAGACCAATATTTGTGCCATGGATAAATTCATGATTGCAACTCATTCAATTGTTTTGTAATCTTTGGCAAAGGCATTGCCCAGAGGAGAACACGGGATATTTTATCGGACAGAATCTGATTGGTTTAGTGTTTTTGTAATCAAACGTGGTCACACCATAAAGCAGAATGATGTTTTATTAAAACAAACCTGTTCCTTTCTCATTTTCCTAAGCTATGAGAACAGTCAGAGAAACAGATTTGTGCTTGTTTATTGCATTCAGAAAACAAACTGTCCTGCTAATCAAAGCTGCCTATCTCATCAGAGATGATGACTGAATTTTATTGCAACCATGTTAGCAATCTGAAACTAGCAAACGCAAAGGATTGTTTTCATTAGGCTTGCCACTCTGCTTTGCTTCTGCAACACACTGAGCCAAAGATTCAGTACAATTTGGGCCTTTGCCTTGTGTTGAGTTCAGTGTAAGCATGGAAGCCTGTTATTCTGAATGTTTTATATATGTATATCTATCCACTGCATGTTGAAGTCCTTTAGAATTTTGTCTTTAAAAAAACCTTAGAACTTCGGAAAGGTTATGATACACTAAGTTTGAGTGTTTATGATTATTGCCGGAAGGAAAGCAGACTGAAGAATCCCACTCCCCACCTTCCAATTTGTTACATTGATACGTGTATTCTTTTAAGGTAAATTGTTTGTAATTGTTTAAATCATAAAGTGGAAACATTATACAATACCCTTAATAAATTATCTAAATTCTAAATCCCATCAATAAATGATGAAAAATTTTCTTTTATCGGTGTATGTTTCTTCAATACATTTTCATTCAGCTCTACCTTTAAAATTAGCAGGGTGGATTGCGGAGATAGGCAACTTTTATTGCCTCACTTCAAAGTTAGGGCAGTGAGTTCATTTCCTCCATAATGCCATCCTGACACCAAATACAACTTTCAGTGTTGTTTCCCTCTGTAGTTACTCACTGGAGACGGCACAGGTTCCTAGAAAACACACATTGCATAGTAAGAGGGCTAAGAATTGTCCAGGAGCTAGACGGGGCAAGAAAATCATTCTTTCTTCCTGTATTTTTATTTGTATTTACGAGCCAATGAAAAATGTGGAATTAAATTTTATTGTTCTATAGTCAAAAATATTTGAGATATAACAATCAAAGAAAGTATTAAAAAACAGCCTGGCTCTGGGAAATAGTACCAGAAAGCTGAAGTTTCTCAAGCCAAGTTACGGTGTATTTCTGGAAAACATCTTCATCATAGTCATACAATGATAAGGTGGGATCACTGATTATTTTTAAACTGTGATTAACAATGTGTGACACAAAATTTACCATTTGAATTATTTCCTCGTGTACAGTTCAGTAGTGATGAGCGTATTCACATGGTTTTCAACTAAAAAATCCTGAAATTCTGTGTCCATTAAACAAGGAATTCCCATCTTCCTCTCCCTACAGCCCTGGAAACCAACATTCCTCTTTCTGTTTCTGTGAATTCCTGTATATACAGCACATAATAGGAATCACAAAGTATTTGTCCTCTTGTGACCACCATATTCAGATAGCATGATGCCTAAGGGTCATCTATGGTATAATATGTGACATAATGTCCTTTATTAAAGCTGAATAAAATTCCACTCTATGTGTTTACAATATTTTGTTTGTCTATTCATCTCTTCAGGGGGGTGCTGGACAATTTCCACCTCCTGACTTTTGTGAACTATACTACTATGAATACTGGTGCCCGAATACCTTTTCAGGATCCTTATTTCAAATACTTTGGAGATATACATATACCCAAAGGTGAAATTGGAGGATCCTACAGTAATATATATTCCATTTTTTTTTTATTTTTCTGAGAAACTTCTATGTTGTTTTCAATAATGGCTGGATCATTTTATAATACATTCCCCCCAACCGTGTATAGGAATTCTAATTTTTCCACCTCATTGAAATTAATTTTGTATTTTTTTTCTGAATGTAGTCGTCCTAATGAATACAAAGTGATCAATGGCATCTTGTGGCTTTGATTTGAATTTCCCTGATCATTAGTAATGTTAAACATCTTTTTACATGCTCACTGGAGCTTTGCCTATCATCTTTAAAAACTTTTTCATTTATCGACTTTGAGAGTTAATGTCGGCTCAGTGCCTGTGGCTCAAGTGGCTAAGGCGCCAGACACATACACCTAAGGTGGCGGGTTCGAATCCAGCCTGGGCCTGCCAAACAACAATAATGGCTGCAACCAAAAAATAGCCGGATGTTGTGGTGGGCGCCTGTGGCCCCAGCTACTTGGGAGGCTGAGACAGGAGACTCGCTTGAGTCCAGGAATTGGAGGTTGCTGTGAGCAGTGAAGCCATGGCACTCTACCCAGGGGGACAGCTTGAGGCTCTGTCTAAAAAAAAAAAAAAAAAAAAAGAGAGAGTTAATATCATTGATGCATCTCCTTCTTCCTAGTCTTAAACCACCATTACAGTTGTGGGAAATATTCCACACTTAGAGAAAAGAGAAATCAATGAGCAATAATCAAGTAAGGAAATGTCTTTTATCAAAGGTGTCAAGAATCACATTTGCTTTTGAATAGGTTTTCAATTACATAGATCCTGACCCAGACAGGATTTACAATAAGAGTACATGATGAGAATACCGTCCTGACTTAGAACATACCAATGATATTAATGTGCATGAGAAAAAAAAATATTTTATATTTATTTAAATAGTAAACTGAAGCAGTAGAGCACAACAGTTTCTGTGTTTTATGTTAGCATATATTCAACATTAATTTAATATTTTAATACAATTTAATAAACGCTTTCTTGAAGACTCAATTTTATTTTAAGTATGTAAAATGAAAAGTAATCAGAAAAATTTGTTTTTGTGTTTTCATTGCCAACATTTTGTTTTCATCAAAATTTAGACAATGACACAGTTCCTAATGACATTTTTCTTGTTTCATTCCCTGTCTCTCATGTATTTTTTATCCTATTTTTTTAATCGAGGAATGATGTATCCTATGGAATAAAATACTCTTGTTGAGAGTTACTGCATGTGCCAAATTAAATTAACATTTCATAAAGAACTAGAGCAAAACAAAATGCATTATTAATATCAATCTCGTATTAAGAATAATTTTCTCTGTTTTCGATTACTCACAATGCTAATATATACAATACCTTTTTCACAGCTCAAATTTATTTCAGTAGTGCATGAGCACTTAAAACATCAATTTCCTTAGTAGAGTACTATTAATATATAAACAAAAGCTATTGTCTATGAACCCCAAGATACAAAGTAAGAGTTACATGTGTGAATGTTCCCCCCTTAGTAAACCTCTGACCCCCATTTCTGTATCTGTGTTTTTCATGAGTAGATGTAGAAAACAATAAGCTACTTTTAAACTATTCTGATGATAGTATTATACAAAAGTATTTTATTTATAGATGTATGAAAAATATTCTCAAAAGTACACTGCATATGTAAATACTTAGAAGTTACAGTTCCTCTTTTTATTCACCCATGAATTTCAAAGAATTACATATTGTACTTGTTACAAAAGATACAGTTTCATTGTGAAATGATTATAAATAAAGAGTCCTATCTTCTACAAAGGCAATTGTTGATTTTTTTTTTTTTTTTTTTTTTTTTGAGACTGAGCCTCACTATGTCACCGTAGGTAGAATGCGGTGGCATCACAACTCACAGCAACCTCAAACTCTCAGGCTTAAGCAATTCTTTTGCCACAGCTTCCAAGTAGTTGAGACTATAGGTACCCGCCACAACACCCGGCTAATTGTTGATTATTTTTAAAAGATTATTCAAGGTAGACTTTATTGTTTATATTGACTAAACACTATTTTCACACAAACATTTATTTCATTCAGGCACTGTGAAAGAGATTACTCTAGAGACCAAATTGAGATTCTGAAAGAAGTGCTTGAAAACTGTTCAAGGCTAGTCATGATTTCAGCATTGCTTCATGGTATCAAATACTATAGTATTAGATAACAGTTCAAATGGCACAATACATGGAATTATTTTAGTTTTACTGAGTTACTGTTATATTTTGGACTCATTGTGAATCATGCAATTACTCTTATTTTATTTTTGCCTTGGCCATTAAAATACAGAGGTCCCCATACATAGGTCCTAGATCACCACTATGAACTATTGGTAAATTCTTTGTCCTTCCAAATTTGTATATCAAAGCCCTAACTGTGGCTGTATTTAGAGGTGGGGCCTCTAAGGAAAAGATTGCAATGAAATGAGAGCATAACTAAGGAGCTCTTATCCAACAGAATGAAAGTTCTTATAAGAGAGACACCAGGACCTCCTTTCTTTTCTCTCTGATCCCTTGCATGTACTCAGAAGAAAGGCACGTGTAGATGATGTGGACATCTACGCAGGAAGAAAACCCTCAACAGAAACTCAGTCCTGTGGGACTTTGATCTTGAAGGTCCAGCCTCCAGAATTTTGAGAAATAAATTTCTGTTGTTTAAACCACCCAGCCCATGTTATTCTGTTATGAAAGCCTCAGCAGACTAATCCAATTACCACATGTTCAGAACCTTATAATGTTCATTGTACATGCTCACTGAAACTGCATTGTTTCATTCTGATCACCCCACTTTGTTGTCTGAACTTATTTTCTGAAGTTGAAAAAAAAATAAACCATAATCATGCTTGGTCAATTGAATACATTTTTTAATGAAAAAATGTTCTTAAACTGTATCCAAAACCTATATGGAAACACATGTAGTTTTGAAGACTAGTCCCAAAAGCAAAATAAACCAATACATGAATAAAAGGCTAGGCTATCAAGCAAAGTCATCCCATAAAAACACAGTCATGATATTAATATCAGAACATGGAAAACATTACAAAACAGAAAAAGGAAAGTCAACTATCGTGTAATTATTACTACAATTCTTTTTGTTCTTGTTGTTTGCAAACTCATCTTCTCAGTGTGCCAGGAGAAGGAAGGTAAGACTCTTGATAACTAGATTATCTGCCTCCTTTGAAGGTGTATTCCTATTCCACGAACAGTATCCTGAGTAGACTGGGCAGACTAAATGGACGTGTCTTTCACAAAATGTGAAAGAATTTCCAGGGTGTTATGGGAACAGATGTGAAGAGCACCTAACTTAATTTTGTGGATGCGATGTCTGAGTTCTTAAAGACATTGGTAATAGAACGTTCTGTGCTACGTCATTGCTCACGAGAAGACAGACTTTTCCCTAGATGCTCCTGGTCTGGGGACGTATTCTTCTAAACTCTCCCCATTACCTTTATAAATGATGGTGAACTTGGTAATGTGGTAGGTACGCGAATGTGCTGGAAAAATGAAGTTGTTATAAAAATCTTGTCCTAACCCAGAAATAGTCTCCAAAAATAGCAAACTCTTATTACTGAATAAGCATTAAACAAGAATGAATGCACATATCATGGGCAGTCCACTAAAAGACCCCAAAGGCAAGAAGACATCTCACTGTTTTATAGAGCTGACAAATCAAAATAAGTGGCTGAGGCAAAAATCTCAATCAGTAGAGTTTAGCTGAGCCAAAGATGAGGATGTACCTGGGAAAAATACAAACCACAGACAAATGTGTGCCTGTTTTTCCAAAAAGGAATTTGGAAGTTTCAGTATTTTAAAAGGAGTAGGGCATACAGAAAAGAAAAAAAAAAAAAATGAAGGGTGTGGTAATGAGAAAAAATGGTTACATTTTTTTGAGACCCAGGAAAATATGCATATAAGATAAGCCTAATGGTGGAAGAGAGAGAAAGGA